GCCAGCCTCACATGTTCCGCCGGTGGCATTGTTTACAAGCCAGCCTCCGCGGTAACATCCATGCATACAATCGGAACATTTCGTATTATTACAGCGTTTTTGGTGATTTTATCTGCAAAATAAGTGACCATGGGCCCCTAGAAAGCTTCTAGTGCCAACCCTGTGGTAAAAAGGGTGAGAAATATTATCGAAATACTGTGGTACCATGGTCAACTGCTGATCCTGCTGCTGCTGTAGCACTGTCAGCTGCTCCTGCTGCTGTAGCACCGTCAGCTGCTGCTGCTGCTGTATCACCATCAGCTGCTGCTGCTGCTGTAGTATCGTCTGCTGCTGCTGTAGCACCGTCTGCTGCTGCTGTAGCACTGTCAGCTGCTGCTGTAGCACTGTCAGCTGCTGCTGCTGTAGCACTGTCAGCTGCTGCTGCTGTAGCACTGTCAGCTGCTGCTGCTGTAGCACTGTCACTGCTGCTGCTGCTGTAGCACCAATCAGCTGCTGCTGCTGCTGTAGCACCATCAGCTGCTGCTGCTGCTGTAGCACCATCAGCTGCTGCTGCTGCTGTACCACCATCAGCTGCTGCTGCTGCTGTAGCACCCACAGCTGCTGCTGCTGCTGTACCACCATCAGCTGCTGCTGCTGCTGCTGTAGTACCATCTGCTGCTGCTGTACCACCATCAGCTGCTCGCTGCTGCTGCTGTAGTACCATCTGCTGCTGCTGTACCACCATCAGCTGCTGCTGCTGCTGCTGCTGTAGCACCATCAGCTGCTGCTGCTGCTGTACCACCGTCAGCTGCTGCTGCTGCTGTATACCGTCTGCTGCTGCTGCTCCCGGGCCTTGCTGCTGTAGTACCGTCTGCTGCTGCGTAGCACCGTCAGCTGCTGCTGTAGCACTGTCAGCTGCTGCTGCTGTAGCACTGTCAGCTGCTGCTGCTGCTGTAGCACTGTCAGCTGCTGCTGCTTGTCCTGTCAGCCTGTCAGCTGCTGCTGCTGCTGCTGTAGCACCGTTGTTGGTGTGCTTATTGAGAATACCAAGAAACAATTAACCCCAAGAGGGTTAGCCACCCAGGATAACCCAAAAAAGTCAGTGTCATCGAAGACTGTCTAACTTATTTCCACTATTCATCAGTCCTCACCAAAGTAATAAAGAAAGCCAAACAACTATACTACTCCAGTAGATTCACTGACACAAGAGGAGATATAAAAAAGACCTGAAAACACTCTCTCAGATTCTAGGGACCCACAAACTGAAAAAAACAAGAATATTGTCCTAACTAAACCTAATGAAACATCACTGCAACCCATTGACACAGCTAACAAGATAAACGACTTCTTCTCAACCATAGGTTCTAATCTCGCCAATAAAATCCCACGTACCAATGCCCATGCCGGGGACTACCTAGAATGGGAATTTTCCCAAATTCCTTCTATCTTGCTCCAACTGAGCCCACGGAAGTCACCGAGATTATAAAGCCACTTAAAAATAACTCAGGGAATCTGTCTCATGTCCCACCATTATTGTACAAGAGAGTGGCCCATGTCCTCTTGCATATTATCTCATTACTTTTTAACAAGTCACTAGAAACTAGCACCTTCCCGAAATTACTCAAGACGGCAAGGGTTACACCAATACATAAAGGTGGTGACCCTACAGATTTAAACAACTATAGGCCAATATCAAACTTACCATTGCTATCCAAAATCTTTGAGAAACTTGTGCACGGGAGACTGTATTCATTATAACGTCACAAAACATACTCAACCCCTGCCAATTTGGATTCAGGAAAAATAAAAGCACTAACGATGCAATCATAAAAATGCTAGATCTGCTTTACACAGCATTGGAAAATAAGGAATATCCACTAGGAATTTTTATGACCTAAGAAAAGCTTTTGACACAGTAGACCATGGCATCCTACTCCACAAACTTGACCATTATGGTATAAGAGGCCATGCGCTTGCATATTCAAATCTTACCTTACTAATAGGTATCAGTATGTCACCATTAAAGACACAGCATCAACAACACAGCCACTTGATACTGGAGTTTCTGCAGGAAGTGTCCTTGGTCCCCTGCTCTTCCTCATATACATCAATGATCTTCCAAACGTATATCGACACCTGAACCCCATTCTCTTTGCTGACGACACGACTTATGTCATCTCTCACCCTAATCTTGCCACCCTCAACACCATTGTTAATGAGGAGCTGATCAAAATATCGACTTGGATGACAGCCAATAAACTTACGCTTAACGTTGACAAAACCTACTACATTATGTTTGGTAGCAGAGCAGGAGATGCGCAAATTAACATTAAGATCGACAACACTCTAATTGCCAGGCATAATGAGGGCAAATTCCTAGGCCTATACCTCGACAACAACCTGAACTTCAGCACCCATAAACCAACACATAACCAAAAAAGTATCCAAAATGGTTGGGATCCTCTCCAAGATACGATACTACGTGCCGCAAACTGCCCTTCTCACACTATACCATTCACTTATATATCCATACCTCACCTATGCTATCTGTGCTTGGGTTCAACTGCAGCAACACACCTAAAGCCAATAATAACCCAACAAAAAGCCGCAGTAAGAATAATCACTAAATCCCATCCCTGGCAACACACCCCCCCACTCTTCATAGATCTAAACTTACTCCTTGTTCAGTACATCCACACTTACTACTGTGGCAATCTACATCTACAGGACCTTAAATTCCAATATTAACCTTGACCTAAAACGCTTTCTTGATAGTTGTGACAGAACCCACAGGCACAACACCAAAACAAACATCTCTATGACATTTCCCGTGTCCGACTAAACCTTCACAAAAATTCAATGTATTCAAAGGCCCTAAAATCTGAAAACCCTACCTGAAAATTCAAAACTGGCAGACACATTCATCACCTTCAAAACTACCATCAGAAAACATCTTATCTCCCTGATACACCCTGTCAGCTAATAATACGAATTCCACCTGGTGGGTTTACACTTACAAATCACTCACCCATTTGACCATAAACAGAAATATCAATCTCAATCTCAAAATAATGAATCTTAACTAGTCATAAGTTGGCCTGTGATACTCCAATACTGAAACTATGTATAGTGCCAAAACAAAAGCATTCACATTGCTAAACTCACAACTAGTATTAAGTCACTTAGCCATAATAAACCCAACTTACCTCAAATTTTGTAATATTTTAAACTTAAGATTTAATATAAGTCTGCCCGAAATGCCTAGCCATGCTAGGTGTTTTTAGTGGTACACTCTGTAGTTATTATTTACTACATGTAAACCCACACAATAACCCAAAATTTTGTAAACCAGCATTGTAATCCTTATAGAGAATAAACTTTGAATTTGAATTTGAATTGAATTTGAATTGGGGGCCTTAATCTTGTCTCCCAAGATGCAACCCACACCAGTCAACTAACACCCAGGTGAACAGGGAAAAATGCCTGGAACTAGTGCTCATAATGGTGAATTTAAAGCCAGCAAAGGTTGGTTTGAGAGATTTAAGAATCGTAGTGGCATACACAGCGTGATAAGGCCTGTTCTGGAAGAAAATGCCAAACAGGACCTACAGTACTCAGGAGGAAAAGGCACTCCCCAGGACACACTGTCTCATCAGTCATTGCTGCATCTTCAATAAAGGTGTCATTATTCTTCATTTAGAGAGTAGTACATGCACAATACATATTGTGCATGTACTACTCTACTATTGTGCATGTATCCTTCTCTTGTGTGTAGGAAATGTATATTTCATGTGGTAAAAATTTTTTTTCATACTTTTTGGGGGTCTTGCACGGATTAAATTGATTTCCATTATTTCTTATGGGAAAATTCATTCGTAATAACGATAATTTCGCATAACAATGAGCTCTCAGGAACGGATTAATATCGTTATGCGGGGTTCCACTGTACTTGCAAGCACTAAAATAAATGGAATACATGTATTATGAAATATTTCGCTGGAGCAACGCGAGGGACCTTCGCTCACTGGTAAACAATGCCAGACTGGCTGCCGCCCTGGCTCACGCCGTGCGTACGCGTCCTGGACGAACTACGACTCGCGAGTCAACCTATGAAAAGCGAGTCCATGTTTATACGAAAATACTCCTGTGATTGGCTAATTTACGATTGCCGGGAACTACGAAAAGTGGGGGACCACTGTATTTCTGTAATACAGTGGACCCCCGCATAACGATTACCTCCGAATGCGACCAATTATGTAAGTGTATTTATGTAAGTGCGTTTGTACGTGTATGTTTGGGGGTCTGAAATGGACTAATCTACTTCACAATATTTCTTATGGGAACAAATTCGGTCAGTACTGGCACCTGAACATACTTCTGGAGTGAAAAAAAATCGTTAACCGGGGTCCACTGTATATCTCTTCCATTCTAACAAATAAGACCAAGAAAATGAGAATACAGCCATAAATAACCATACAAAAACACATCTCAAAGTCGGCATTTTAAACCAAAAACACGGTCAGAGTTTTTTTTTCCCCATTGTGCACTGCGTGCAGCAGGGTTTTTTTTACACTGCACACACTGACAATGCAGACTCATTCTCTCACATGTAGGGCTAACCAGCTTTCTCTCGCTAAATCTGAAGCCACTAGAATTTTAGCATATTAATACGGCACCAACACTGGCTTGTACGCCGTACAAATACGGCATCGACAGTGAAAGGTTAATAAACAATACAGATATTCCTGGCATTAAAATATTTCCTCTGTTCATTAGTTACATCCCTAGGCCTCTCCTATATTACACTTGATTTCCATGTCGAATTTCTATTCACACAAAAAATAGAAGAGTTACTGTTATGCAGACTACTGCATTATTGTAATAATTGTATAAATAATGTCAGCACATAGTAGACTGACAAGCTGGGTGCATATTGGGCGAGTGACATGATTTGTGTCCTCTGGAATATTGGCAAAAATGTAATATTTCTGCTACTTTGAGTTCAATTTCAAGCTACTTACAATCCTGAACCAATCAACATCTCTATTTCTGTAATATATCTTCCATTCTATCAAATGATACCAAGAAACTGAGAATAAAACTATCTGAAAATACAATGCAGTCGCTATTTTAAACCAAATACGTACATGGTCACATTTTCCCCCCCCATCATGCACTACGTGGGGCAGGATTTTTTTATATGGTGCACACTCACCAGAGACCCATTCTCTCATATCTAGGCCCAAATTTACCACTCACAGCTTATCTGAATGAGCTGAGCTTGTCATGTAGTTCTACAGTATGGACCTTGGCCTGAAAACCATAGTACTATGGCACTGACCACGAATGGGGGTTAAAAATTCCTGATACAATAGAACCTTGGTGTTCCAAAGTACTGGACCTCAAATGAACTGGAGTATGAACAATTTTGTTTATAAAAAATGACCTTGTCTTTGAATGTCTTTCTGGAGTCTAAACACACCAGCTTATTTAACCCTTTCAGGGTCCGTCCCGTAGATCTACGGCTTTACGTTCAGGGTCCAAACCGTAGATCTACGCCATGAGCTCAGCTCACTCTGATAAACTTGAGTGGTACATTTGGGCCTAGATATGAGAGAATACATCTATGTGGTATGTGTGCACCACATAAAACAGATCCTGCAGCACACTGTGTATAATGAGAGAAAAAAAATGAAATCATGATTTTTCGATTAAAACAGCAACTTTGCAGTGTTTTTTCGTATGTTTTTTATAGTTGTATTTGCGATTTCTTGGTCTCATTTGATAGAATGGAAGACATATTACAGAAATAGAGATGATTTTGATTGGTTTAGCACTGGAAATGGCTTGAAACTGAGCTCAAAGTAGCAGAAATGTTAAATTTTGCCGATATTCAAGAGTAAACAAACGACCTCACACTTCTAATACATGTCAGCTGGTGGGTCTAATATACATTCACAAATATGGTGATGATATTTATACAATTATTACAGTATTGCATAACAGTAAATCTTCTATTTTTTGGTGTGAATAAAAATTCATTATGTGAATAAAAAATCAAAATGGAATTTATTTGTAAAGCCTCAAAACATAACTAATGAACAGAGGAAATGTTAGTTTAGTGCCAGGAATGCCTACATTGTTCATTCTGGACCCTATTTTGAAATTGAATATTTTGAACATTGTGTTAATTGGCCAAATTAACAATTTCCGATCACTTTATTTTGTAGTTGAAACAGTTGACTTGGCGATTTCTTGTGCTCAATCGATAGAATAGAAGTAATACTAGTGAAATAGCTAAGAATTTGGTTGATTGGAATAATGTAATTGGCCTAAAATGGGAGTCAAAGTCGGCACAATCGCCGATTCGTAAGTATCGCTGACACATCAAAATTCGCGAGAGCATAATTTCGTCAATTTTCCACCAAATTTCGTACTTTTTGTTTTATTACCTTCACAAAAAGATTCTCTACGATTTCATAAGAAAAAATAACAAATTTTTTTTTTTAAAATTCTTGGACACTGGTGCGTGACTCCAGATTTGGGCCTTGGACCCTGAAAGGGTTAAAATTCAGATATTAAAAAAACTTTACATGAAAGCCCTGTTTCAAAAGTGCTTTGAAGTGATCTCTGACACTCGCCAAGCTCTCAAGAGACTTTTGGAAGAGTCAGTGCAACATCCTCTAGTGTGTGAGGCTGATAATTAAAGCCTGGGAAATACTGTTTTAGACACTGAACTTTTTGTTGTTCGACTACGAACTAGGAACCAATGAAGTTCAAACACTGAGGTTCCACCGTAATCAATGGAATAAAAATTCCACCATAATGAATGAAATAAAAGCAATGATATGGTTAACATAATACGTAATTGTAGGACAGGGTGGGGATTTAAAGTGAAAACCTGAAATGAGATGTCTGTACATTTCTGGCAAGGCTGAATTGTTTTCTTTTTTGGATCCCCCTATCTCTGTGAAAGATGCTTGAAGTAAAAAAAAAAAAATTGTATGCTACTGTTTTAGTTACTTACCTATGCATTACTGTTGCAATTTCTGTAGTAAGGCTAGCATTAGGACCAACAACTTTTGCTGGCCAAGGTGAAGACAACAGTGTTTCTAGAGATCGTAGACACACAACACTTCGTTCAGGATCATCACTGTGCACTGGACTACAAAGCCATTCTAAACATATTCCTGTAAAATTAAAACTTGTATTGCATTTTTTTGAAGTGACCTCTGATATGGAAGTTGTCTCCCACTGAGGTAGGGTGACCCAAAAATAAAGAAAAAATCCCCAAAAAGAAAATACTTTCATCATCATTCAACACTTTCACCTCACTCATACATAATCACTGTCTGTGCAGAGGTGCTCAGATACGACAGTTTAAAAGTGAACCTCCAAACTGGCAATATCTCAAACCCCCTCCTTTAAAGTGCAGGCATTGTACTTCCCATTTCCAGGACTCAAGTCCAGCTATATGAAAATAACCCTGAAGCCCTTCACAAAATATTACCTTGTCCACACTCCAACAGCTCATCAGGTCCCAAAAACCATTCGTCTCCATTCACTCCTATCTAACACGCTCAAGCATGCTTGCTGGAAGTCAAAGCCCCTCGCCCACAAAACCTCCTTTACCCCTTCCCTTCAACCTTTTCGAGGACAACCCCTACCCCACCTTCATTCCTCTACAGATTTATACGCTCTCTAAGTCATTCTGATCAATTAGACGCTTTTTTATTTTTTTTAACAAGTCGGCCGTCTCCCACTGAAGCAGGGTGACCCAAAAAGAAAATCCCCTAAAAGAAAATACTTTCATCATTCAACACTTTCACCTCACTCACATATAATCACTGTTTTTACAGAGGTGCACAGAATACAACAGTTTAGAAGCATATACATATGAAGATACACAACATATCCCTCCAAACTGCCATTATCCCAAACCCCTCCTTTAAAGTGCAGGCATTGTGCTTACCATTTCCAGGACTCAATTCAGGCTATATAGAAATAACTAGTTCCCTGAATCCCTTCACTAAATATTACCCTGCTCACACTCCAACAGCTCGTCAGGTCCCAAATACCATTCGCATCCATTCATTCCTATCTAACACGCTCATGCACGCTTGCTGGAAGTCCAAGTGCCTCGCCCACAAAACCTCCTTTACCCCCTCACTCCAACCTTTTCGAGACAACCCCTACCCTGCTTTCCTTCCCCTACAGACTTACACGCTCTCCGTGTCATTCTACATTGATCCATTCTCTCTAAATGACCAAACCACCTCAACAACCCCTCTTCAGCCCTCTTGACTAACACTTTTATTAACTCCACACCTTCTCTTAATTTCCACACTCTGAATTTTCTGCATAATATTTACACCACACATTGCCTTTAGACAGGACATCTCTTCTGCCTCCAACCGTCTCCCCGCTGCAGCATTACAACCCAGCATTACCACTATACTTTCATACATTCCCTTCTTTGCCTCCATAGATAACGTTTTTTGTCTTCACACATACCTCAACGCACCACTTGCCTATTTTCCTTCATCAATTCTATGATTAATCTCATCCTTCATAAATCCATCCGCTGACATGTCAACTCCCAAATATCTGAAAACATTCATTACCTCTATACTCCTCCTCTCCAATTTGATATCCAATTTTTCTTTATCTAAATCATTTGATACCCTCATCACCTTACTCTTTTCTGTGTTCACTTTCAACTTTCTACCTTTACACACTCCCAAATTCGTCCACTAACCTTGGCAATTTTTCTTTAGAATCTCCCATAAGCACAGTATCATCAGCAAAAAGTAACTGTCAATTATCATTTTGTATTTGATTCCCCATAACTTAATCCCACCCCTCTCCCAAACACCCTAGCATTTACTTCTTTTACAACCCCATCTATAAATATATTAAACAACCATGGTGACATTACACATCCCTGTCTAAGACATACTTTTACCAGGAAGTAGTTTTCCACTCTTCTACACACCCTAACCTGAGCCTCACTATCCTCATAAAAACTCTTTACAGCATTTAGTAACTTACTACCTATTCCATATACATACTTGCAACATCTGCCACATTGTTCCCTTATCCACTAACATACACCTTTTCTAAATCCATAAATGCAATGAAAACTTCCCTACCTTTATCTAAATACTTGTCACATATATGCTTCACTTTATGTACACATCCCCTACCCACTCCAAAACCTCCTTGCTCATCTGAAGTCCTATATTCTGTCTTACCTCTAATTCTTTCAGTAATAACCCTACTGTGAACTTTTCCTGGTAAACTCAGTAAACTAATTCCTCTATAATTTTTACAATCTCTTTGTCCCCCTTCCCTTTATATAAAGGAACTATACATGCTCTCTGCCAATCCCTAGGTACCTTCCCCTCTTTCATACATTTATTAAACAAAAATACCAACCACTCTAACACTGTATCCCCCCTGCTTTTAACATTTCTATCATGATCTCGGCAGTTCCAGCTGCTGTACCCCCTTTCATTCTACGTAATGCCTCACGCACCTCCCCCACACTCACATCCTGCTCTTCTTCACTCCTAAAAGATGGTAGTATATCTCCCTGGCCAATGCATGAAATTACCGCCTCCCTTTCTTTGTCGACATAAAAGTTCCTCAAAATATTCTCGCCATCTACCCAATACCTCCATCTCCCCATAAAATTAGACACTTGTGCAACATTTGGGTATCATTAATGAGGAAACGTTTTGCCACACAGTGGCTTCATCAGTCCCTACAGAGGAGAATAGTGAAGAACAGGAGTAGTTTGAGGTAATCAGTCCCTCAGCCTTGAGTCAATGTGATCAGTCCATCAATCTTGAAAAGAATACAGCATATGTGCAAAGAAATGGCTTACATACTGTAGGCATGAGAGGTGCAGCAGTCGTAGGTAATAACACATACAACGAATGTGGAAGTAGGTTATGCGCTGACAAGTCAACTCATAAATACATATCTGAAAACATTAATGTCTTCCATACTCCCTCTCTCCAATGTGATATCCAATTTTTCTTTATCTAAATCATTTGATACCCTCATCACCTTACTCTTTTCTATGTTCACTTTCAACTTTCTACCTTTACACACCCCCCACACTCATCCACTAACCTTTGCAACTTTTCTTTAGAATCTCCCATAAGGACAGTATCGTCAGCAAAAAAGTAACTGTGTCAACTCCCACTTTGTATTTGATTCCCCATAATTTAATCTCACTCCTCTCCCCAACACCCTAGCATTTACTTCTTTTACAACACCATCTATAAATATATTAAACAATCATGGTGACATTACACATCCCTGTAAAAGACCCACTTTTACCGGGAAGTAATCTCCCTCTCTCCTACACACCCTAACCTGAGCCTCACTATCCTCATAAAAACTCTTTACAGCATTTAGTAACTTACTACCTAATCCATAAACTTGTAACATCTGCCACACTGCTCCCCTATCCACTATCATATGCCTTCCCCTCTTTCATACATTTATTAAATGAAAATAACAACCACTCCAACACTATATTCCCCCCCCCCCCACTTTTAACATTTCTTTCATGATCCTGTCAGTTCCAGCTGCTTTACCCCCATTCATTCTATGTAATGCCTCACGCACTTCCCCAACACTTACATCCTGCTCTTCTTCACCCCTAAAAGATGTTATACCTCCCTGACCAGCGCATGAAATTACTGCCTCCGTTTTTCATCGACATTTAAAAGTTCAAAATATTCCCGCCATCTACCCAATACCTCCAGCTCCCCATCTACTAACTCCCCTATCCTGGTTTTAAATGACAAATCCAATTGTTCCCTAGTCTTTCTTAACTTGCAAATCTCACTCCAAAATTTTTTCTTATTTTCATTAAAATTTCTTGACAGTGCCTCTCCCACTCTATCATCTGCTCTACTTTTGCACTCTCTCACCACTCTTCATCTTTCTTTTACTCTCCATATACTCTGCTCTTCTTATAACACTTCTGCTTTGTAAAACCTCTCATAAGCCACCTTTTTCTCTTTTATCACACTGTTTATTTCATCATTCCACCAATCACTCCTCTTTTCTCCTGCACCCACCCTCCTATAGCCACAAACTTCTGCCCCACATTCTAATACTGCATCTTTAAAACTATTCCAAACCTCTTCAACCCCCACACTACTCATACTTGCACTAACCCACCTTTCTGCCAATAGTTGCTTACATCTCACCGTAACTTCCTTCTCCCTTAGCTTATACACTTTCACCTCCCTCTTACTTGCTGTTGCCATTTTCCTTTTGTCCCATCTACCTCTTACTGTAACTGTAGCTACAACTAAATGATCCGATATATCTGTTGCCCCTCTACGAACATGTACATCCTGAAGCCTACCCATTAACCTTTTATCCACTAATACATAATCTAACAAACTACTTTCAATACATGCTATATCATACCTTGCATACCTATTTATCTTCTTTTTCATAAAATATGTATTATCTATTACCAAATCTCTTTCTACACATTGCTCAATTAAAGGCTCCCCATTTTCATTTACATCTGGCACCCCAAATTTACTTACTACTCCTTCCACAACATTTTTACCCACTAGAATTGAGATCCCCAACCACAAGTACTCTCTCACTTGGTTCAAAACTCCCCATGCACTCACTCAACATTTCCCAAAATCTTTTTCTCTCCTCTATACTTTTCTCTTCTTCAATCCTTAGGTACCTTCCCCTCTTTCATACATTTATTAAACAAAAAAACCAACCACCAACACTATATTCCCCCCCCCATCCTGCTTTTAAAATTTCTGTCATGATCCTGTCAGTTCCAGCTGCTTTACCCCCTTTCATTCTATGTAATGCCTCTTGCAACTCCCCCTACGCTCACATCTTGCTCTTCTTCACTCCTAAAAGATGGTATACCTCCCAGGCCAATGCATGAAATTACCACACAAACACTTACTATAACTCACTTTTCATATCCAACCCTTATTTTACTTCACATAATCCTTGAATTTATATATTTATATTCCCTCTTTTCTTGCCATAACTTATCCTTCAACATTATTGCTACTCGTTCTTTAGCTCTAACTATTTGAAACTCTGACCTAATCCCATTAATTTCTCCCCACTGCATTTATAATTGTGAAAATTCATGCTATTTAATTTAGATTTGCTGATAAATTTAACTACAGTATATACATGTACTGAATTAACGAAAGTGGAAATGAGTGATTAAATTAAATGCAACAGAATAGGTACCTACCTAAAAGAAGATAAAAGCGATCAGTATTTAAGACCTCTGGGCTTTTGACTGTTGTGGTGGTAGTGTTCGTGCTTGGTGTTACAGGTACTGCTGAGGGACTGATGTCAGACTCCTCATTCTCTTCTTCTCCTGCTTTATCAAAACCTCCTGAACTGAGCCAGAGGGCTGCAGCATAAAGCATTGGAGGCCAAGCACTGCGATAGTATGGGCGGACTCCCTCCACACTCTCGTTAGAGTAAAATGCTCCACCATCATGAGGCAACTGACTAGAAAATTCTGAAAGAGGAAAATATTCTTCCAGTTGTTGCCAAGGTTTGCCAGTGTGTATACTTAAACTGACAAGAAATTTCAATTTATCTTTAACACTGAAAAAGTAAAATTTTTCATACTAATATTATGAGCCCTACATGAAAGTGTACAAAATTTTATAAATACAGTGGACCCCCGGTTTACGATATTATTTCATTCCAGAAGTATGTTCAGGTGCCAGTACTGACCGAATTTGTTCCCATAAAGAATATTGTGAATTAGATTAGTTCATTCAGAACCCAAAACATACACATACAAACGCACTTACATAATTGGTCGCATTGGGAGCTGATAGTAAACCGGGGGTCCACTGTATAGTGGACCCCTGGATTATGATGCCATCAGATTACGTAAAATTCAGATTAAGTAATGTTTTTCGTCAAAATATTGGTCTGGTTAATGACAAAGAACTTGGTTCGAGTCATTCATCCTGAACATGTCCGCACGGTGTGAGCGGCCCGGACACTCCACGTACAGCAAGTGTGCGACTGTTTACAAGCCAGTGAGGACGATTCCATGCGATACATTTTCTATTATTCCATTGTTTTCAGTGCTTGTAACTGCTATATAAGCCACCATGGGCCCAAAGAGGGTGAGAAACACTACAGAATTCAAGAAAAAGTTTGTAGAAAGATACAAAGTGGTGGTGGTAGAGGGTGGTAGTATGGTCCAACAGGTCTGCTGCAGTGTTTCTGCTTTCTTATGTACACCAGCCAGTGGACTTCCCCACACACCAGCCAGGGTACTTCTCCACCCACCAGCCAGGGTACTTCCCCACCCACCAGCCAGGGTACTTCCCCACCCACCAGCCAGGGTACTTCCCCACCCACCAGCCAGGGTACTTCCCCACCCACCAGTCAGGGTACTTCCCTACCCACCAGTCAGGGTACTTCCCCACCCACCAGCCAGGGTACTTCCCCACCCACCAGCCAGGGTACTTCCCCACACACCAGCCAGGGTACTTCCCCACACACCAGCCAGGGTACTTCCCCACACACCAGCCAGGGTACTTCCCCACACACACGATTTGATTTGATTGGGACTTGCACACAAGTGAATAGAATTATCAAAGCTTATTGCTTGGGAAGCATTGAAAATTGGGTTGGGCAAATACGATTCTGTTAGTGGGATGGTTTATGAAGGACCTGCCTAGTATGGGCCAACAGGCCTGCTGCAGTATTCTTGCTTTCTTATGTGCAAACATTTATGGATGAACATCACTCTGACACAGCTGTTGCAGGCCGTGCTGGCTACACCTACAACGACAATGTTGTCCCACATTTTAGGGAAATCTTAAAGAGATGCTAGAAACAGAGCTCTCTGGACAGATATTTTGTGCAACAGGGCTCCAGTGACTCTGAAGCTGGTCCTAGAGGCATTAACAAGCAAAGAAGGGAAGTAACTCCAGATAAGGACTTGGTACCTGAAGTCCTTATGGAAGGGGATTCCCCTTCCAAACACTAGTACACCTCCATCCTCTCCCCTCCTCCCGTCTCATCACTCATCAATATGTCTTCAATAAAGGTAAGTGTCATTTTATTATTTATTCTGCACGTCTCATTGTTTTCTGTGTGGGGAAATGTATATTTCATGTAAAAAAATTATTTTGTTTAATACTTTTGGGTGTCTAGAATGGATTAATTGGATTTCCATTATTTCTTATGGGGAAAATTAATTCAGATTACGACAGATTCGGTGTAAGACACGCTCTCTGGAATGGACTAATGTCGTAATCCGGGGGTCCACTGTAACTTGACTCGAGGTTAAGAGCAAAAGTAAATACAATTTCTTACTTAATGACGGAGTTCCGTTCCTAAGATCATATCAGTAAACTAATTTGTTGCTAAGCAAGGAGCATACTATAATGGCAGTGGGTTTGTGTCAACCATCTTTGACTTTGTTTTAATGTCACCTTTGCACCATTTGTAACATTTATACATTATTTAGTATGCATACTAGTTAGAGAGCGCATTGTAAGTCAGAGTTGTTGGTGAACGAGTACGTCGCTAAGTGAGGAGAGGCTGTATAGGGTTCAGCATACATTATTTCAAAATGTGCTAAATGCTCAAATCAATGGAATGATCCAAAGCAAATTCGTAAACATGTCCACATTCTTTCACAATAAAGTTCTGGACATGAATAAAACCAGGTACAGTACCAAACAACTTGATACAATATGTATTTCTTCAAAGAAGTTCATTCACAGTGACTGATGCAAAACCCTTGTTAGCAACACTTGGACAGACTAATATTACACATTCACAGCTGCCCACCTGGTGGTAAGGAAAGAAGAGCATGATCCTTAAAAGCTGCTAACAAGACTTAGACAAACCCACACCAGGTTGAACCAAACTCAAAAACTCTTTTCAGAGGGTTGAAAGGAAACCCTTGTTTTGGGGTCTATCACCCTCGCCTGATCATCTGGCTTCTACAACCCCCACACCTTTTCAGTGCCACTGCATATACCTGTGGCAAAATAAATAAATAAATAAATAAATAAAGGGGGTAAAAATGTTGTGGCGGAGAGTAGGTAATTTGGGGGTCCAGGGTAAATGAAATGGGACCCTTTTTAATTCGCTATTGTAAAAAGGGGTTTTGATAATAAGTAATAATATTTTATGAAAAAAGGGGATCAAAAAATAACAAGTAAAATGCATGTAAGAAAGTAGTTTTTAATTATATTTAGTGGAAAAAAGGGTTTATAAACTAAAAGAGGAGGCAGTTAGGGTAAGATAAAACAGCTATTGGAGGTAGATGGGCTAAGAAGCATAGGCAAGGGGGTTCAAAGGGGTAGGGGGTGGTTTAAAAATGTGTGTTTGAGTTTCCAAAATTTTGGGGTTTAAAGGGAAAAGTGGGTGAGGGGGGAAAGAGGAGCGTTTTGGGGGAATGAGATGTAAAGAGAGTAAAAAGGGAGAAAAAGTTGCATATGAGAAGTTTTTACAAAGTAAAGTGTGCAAGGAGGGAAGAGTATATGGAGAAAAAGAGAGAGGTTTTAAGAGAGGGGTGAAGCAATGTAAAAAGAAGAAAATAGAGAGTGGGTGAGATGTTTCAACAAATTTTTTTTGAAAATAAGAAAATTTTTGGAGGGGATTAACAATTTAAGAAAGCCTAGAGAACAAATTGATTTGTCAGTTAAAAATAGGAGGGAGAGTTTTTAAATGGAGAGTTAAGGTTTTGGGGGAAGAGGAAGAATTTTTTGGGGAAATTTGTTAAATTTTGATAAAGAAGGGAAGCGTATTTGGGGTTATAGGGCAAGGAGGAATAACATCTTGTAGGATGAGGAAGACCCCATTTTTGTGAGGGGGGGGAAGTTGTTGAGGCAGTGGGTAAAAAAAAAGGGGGAAGGGCCGGATGATGGGATAAAGATAGAAACTTAAAAGCAGGGGGGGATATGTTTGGAGTGGTTGGTGCAATTTTTTTAAAAAATGTATGGAAGGGGGAAAAGGTACCTAGGGATTGGCAGAGAGCATGCATATTCCTTGTAAAAGGAAAAGGGGGGATAAAAGGGGTGCAAAAATTATAGGGGATAAGTCTTTTGGTGTACCTGGTAAAGTGATGGTAGAGTTAAATTTGAAAAATTAGATAAGACGGAGAATAGGTAGCAGATGAACAAGGAGCTTTGAAAGGGTGGGGGTGTGTGGACCAGGTTTTACAGTGAACAATAGTGAACAGAATTAGATAAGGCTAAAGAGGTCTTTAGGGCATTTAGGATTGAAAAGGCAGTATAACAGGGTGGTTTGGGGCCAAGTGGCTATGGAAGGGGTTCCCGTTCAACTGTAACAGTGAAGATTTTCCGAGGTACCGACTCAACTTAAGTATGTTAGGAAAGAAGGTAATTTTTTATTAAATTGGCCTCAATATGTGTGATTCCCCTGTGGTTGTTTAATTATATTTTAATGTTGAAAAGAAGTAATGGGTGGGTTTTGGTGTCAAGAGTGGAGTTAAAAGATAAATAATCAAAAATTTAAGTTGTCACAGCTGCTCTTTGCTGATGACACGTGCCCCTTTGGGAATCTAAGAGTAATTCCAGAGATTTGGGAATTGATTGGGAGGTTGTGCAAAAGAAGTAAATTAAAGGTATTACAGGAAAGAGGGGGTTCCGTGGCTAAAAATGATTAGTGAAAATGATTGAAACAGATTGAGGGAGAGAGATGGAGGTAGGTGTACAAAAATTATTTGGAGTGAACGTTCAGCGGATGGTTTATAAGTTGAGTATTACTAGAAATACAGGGTAAAAGCGCATTGGTGCATTCAGAGTTGTGGAGAACAAAGAACTTGTCCTGGAGGAAAGAGGTAATGATAGATATATTTTTCCAAAGTCTATATGGGTAACATGGGAAAGAAATGTTGCAGCAGCAATTGCTTTACAGTGGAAAGTCTGTCTGAGAAAAGTGTGGTGTGAAATAATGCAGAGAATTCGTATTTGGAAGTTAAAGGAGTTCATTCCAACTGTGCCAAAGAGGGCTGTAGGAAGTTGGGAAGATGTTAGACATGTAAGAGCCAGCGGTGAGAATGACTTAAGAGTGTATCATTGTAGTGGAAGGAAGGCGGGTAGGGGTCGGCCTAGAAGGTTGGAGGGAGGGGTAAGGAGTTTTGTGTGCGAGGGTTGAACTTCCAACCATGCGTGAGGGTTATTTCGGAGTGAAGCAAATGGTCTTCTAATACTACCACCTGTTGGAGTGTCAGCAAGTACCATTTGAAGGAATTCAGAAATAAAAGGCCGGACTAAGTCCTGGAGATGGAAGTACAGGCTGCACTTTGAGGAGGGGTAATAAATGTGGCAGCTTAAATCAGTAGTTGAAAGAGGCCTTCTGGAATACAGTGATGAGTATGATGTGAAAGTTATCTTTCGGGACCTGCACTTGGTGGGAATCTGCCGTGTTCTGGATTATATATAATATAAAAAGGTTGATGGGTAGGCTTCAGGATGTACATGTTTATAGAGGGGCAACTGATATATCGGATCATTATTTAGTTGAAGCTACAGTTAGAGCAAGAGGTAGATGGGACAAATGGAAAATGGCAACAACATGTAAGAGAGAGGTGAAAGTGTATAAATTAAGGGAGGAAGAAGCTCGGGTGAGATATAAGCAACTATTGGCAGAAAGGTGGGCTAGTGCAAGTATGAGTAGTGGGGAGTCGAAGAGGGTTGGAATAGTTTTAAAAATGCAGTATTAGATTGTGGGGAAGAGGTTTGTGGCTATAGGAGGGTGCATGCAGGAGGAAAGAGGAGTGACTGGTGGAATGATGAAGTAAAGGGTGTGATAAAAGAAAAAAGGTAGCTTATGAGAGGTTTTTACAAAGCAGAAGTGTTATAAGAAGACCAGAGTATATGGAGAGTAAAAGAAAGGTGAAGAGAGTGGTGAGAGAGTGTAAAAGGAGAGCAGATGATAGAGTGGGAGAGGCATTGTCAAGAAATTTTGATGAAAATAAGAAAAAATTTTGGAGTGAAATTTACAAGTTAAGAAAGCCTAGAAAATGAATGGATTTGTCAGTTAAAAATGGAGTAGGGGAGTTAGTAGATGGGGAGATGGAGGTATTGGGTAGACGGCGGGAATATTTTGAGGAACTTTTAAATGTCGACGAAGAACGGGAGGCGGTAATTTCATGCACTGGCCAGGGAGGTATACCATCTTATAGGAGTAAATAAGAGCAGGATGTGAGTGTGGGGGAGGTGTGTGAGGCATTATGTAGAATGAAAGGGAGTAAAGCAGCTGGAACTGACGAGATCATGACAGAAATGTTAAAAGCAGGGGGATATACAGTATTGGAGTGATTGGTATTTTTGTTTAATAAATGCATGAAAGAGGGGAAGGTACCTAGGAATTGGCAGAGAGCATGTATAGTTCCTTTATATAAAGGGAAGGGGGACAAAAGAGATTGTAAAAATTATAGAGGAATAATATTACTGCGTATACCATGAAAAGTGTATGGTAGGGTTATTATTGAAAGAATTAGATGCAAGACAAAATGTAGGATAGTGGATGAGCAAGGAGGTTTTAGAGTGGGTAGGGGATGTGTAGATCAAGTGTTTACATTGAAGCATATATGTGAACAGTATTTAGATAAAGGTAGGGAAGTTTTTATTGCATTTATGGATTTAGAAAATGCATATGAGAGAGTGGATAGGGGAGCAATGTGGCAGATGCTGCAAGTACATGTATATGGAATAGGGGGTAAGTTACTTAATGCTGTAAAGAGTTTTTATGAGGATAGCGAGGATCAGGTTAGGGTGTGTAGAAGAGAGGAAGACTACTTCCCGGTAAAAGTAGGTCTTAGACAAGGATGTTTAATGTCACCATGGTTGTTTTAATATATTTATAGATGGGGTTGTAAAAGAAGTAAATGCTAGGGTGTTCGGGAGAGGGGTGGGATTAAAGTATGGGGAATTAAATACAAAATGGGAATTGACACAATTACTTTTTGCTGATGAAACTGTGCTAATGAGAGATTCCAAAGAAAAGTTGCAAAGGTTAGTGGATGAGTTTGGAAGAGTCTGTAGAGGTAGAAAGTTGAAAGTGAACATAGAAAAAGAGTAAGGTGATGAGGGTATCAATTGATTTAGATAAAGAAAAATTGGATATCAAATTAGAGAGTAGTAGTATGGAAGAAGAGAACGTTTTCAGATACAGTGGACCCTCAACCAGGGATGGCATCGATTAATGATAAATCTGACTAGCGATACATTTTAACGCAAAAATTTTGCCTGGACTAGCGCTTAAAAACCCAACCAGCGCTATTCGTTCCGTATGAGACGCGTCCACTTTGGCCTGAGCGCGCCTCACTTGTCCCGTGGGTGCCAGTGTTTACAAGCCACCCACCGCGGTCGCTTCAAAACATACAACTGGAACAACTGGATAAATAAATATACAAGGTATGATATAGCACATAATGAAAGTAGTTTGTTAGATTATGTATTGGTGGATAAAAGGGTGAAGGTAGGCTCCAAGATGTACACGTTTATAGAGGGGCAACTGATATATCGGATCGTTATTTAGTTGTAGCTACAGTTAGAGTAAGAGGTAGATGGGAAAAGAAGAAAATGGCAACAACAAGCAAGAGGGAGGTGAAAGTGTAGAAACTAAGGGAGGAGGAAGTTCAGCTGAGATATAAGCAACTATTGGCAGAAAGGTGGGATGGTGCAAGTATGAGTAGTGGGGATGTTGAAGAGGGTTGGAATAGTTTTAAAAATGCAGTATTAGAATGTGGGGCAGAAGGTTGTGGTTATAGGAGGGTGGGTGCAGGAGGAAAGAGGAGTAATTGGTGGAATGATGAAGTAAAGGGTGTGATAAAAGAGAAAAGGTTAGCTTATGAGAGGTTTTTACAAAGCAGAAGTGTTATAAGAAGAGTAGAGTATATGGAGAGTAAAAGAAAGGTGAAGAGAGTGGTGAGAAAGTGCAAAAGGAGAGCAGATGATAGAGTGGGAGAGGCACTGTCAAGGAATTTTAATGAAAATAAGAAAAAAT